TTTATTTATTTATTTTTAACTAGCCCAGGCTGAAACCCCACAGATGAAGTCCCTGCTGGGCGTATTTTTACTTGTGTGTCTTGCATTATGTTAATTTTTTCACCCCTAGCAGCAGTGCATTCTGTTGCACCAGAGCTGCGAGTAAGGCTGGGGTTATACATTGGCCTATAAATCAAGAGCTGGGTTCAATTCTCTGCTCTGCTACAGACTGCCCTTGTGAAATTGCCATTTAATCTTCCCCTGCCTTGGTTTCCCAGCTGTAAAATAGGGATAACAATATCTCCTTTGCTTCACCTATTCTCATTACAAGCTCTCTGCGACAGAGGCTGCCTGCTACTGTGTGTGTGCCACGCCTAGCACAGTGGGGTTCTGAACGCACACAGGTGTCTTATTTGTTCAGCCTTGAAATAAACAGAGTGACGTTTAATCAACCAGTAACACATTTACACCTGCAAGTCTGACTTACTGGGAAGGGGTCATGAAGCTGTGAATGGGGTAGTATTGTCCCTTGTTAATATTGGCTTGTTGCACAGAGGGTTTACGGTTTTCCAAGTTCTTTCAAGATCGCTCTGAAGGTGACCCTTCTCAGTTCCTAGAGAAGTTTGGGGTCTGGCTCTGCTCCTGCTGAAATCAGTGACCAAATAGCCATTGATTTCATGGCAGCAGGAGACAGTGCATTATTCTTAACAGGGAGCCTGGGAGGCTTTTTGGATTCAGGTCACTGTGTGTGTGGATCTTGTTTCCCCAATAACACAAGATATGACCGAGCCATGCAGTTTTTGTTTGCAAAGCCTGGGACTGGTATAAATAAGTGCATATAGGTCTGATCCAAAGTCCACTGTAGACAATGGGATTCTTTCCATTGACTTCATTAGGCAGCTCTTTATTTCCCTTCCTTGAGCAGATCCGATCACTGAAACATGTTGCGCTATTGTTTTTGGGCTCCCGTCTGGTTAACGAGCAGCTCCTCCAATTAACATTTTTCCCTTTTGAATTTGTAGATAGCAAACTTGTTTTCTGTGTACGGGGTGAGCCAGTATTTCAAAGCCCCTGTGCGCCAAGGACAGGAGTGCTACTGGGGCTCTCACAATGGTGGTGTCCATGGCTAACGCTGTTCTCCTCTCTGCCTGGACTTTGGCTGACAAACTGTAAATGCAAATCGCTTGATTAGATTCCTCCCTCTCCACCTTTGAACTCCTGTGGTTTTCTCTGTGTCTCTTGTTTGCAGGTCTGACTGCCTCATTAAGACAATCCGCTCGGAAGGTTACTTCGGCATGTACAGAGGTAAGGGCTGGAGGCAGAGCAGAAGTGCAGCATCTGACTCATCCGTCCTAGCCTGAAACGCTGTTGTGACCGCAGGTGAAATAAAAACAAAGCCACTTTCCTCTCTTTATGGAGTGAGGTATTAGGGGTGCCCTGAACTGGTTGGAAAAACCTTGAAAAAATCTCACCTAAAAACCAGGGGCTCAATATACAGAAACACAGGACTTGCCAGGCTGGCTAGACCCCCCCTGCTTCACCCAGTCCAGTTCCCTGTCTGTGTCAGTGGCCAGTGCCAAATGCTTCAGCGGATGGTGCAGGGAGTTATGGGGTACTATGTCCTCAGGGAAAATTCCTCCTAACGCCCATAAACTGAGAGGTTGGTTCATGTCCAGAAACAAGTGGGTTCATATCCCTTCCTAAGCCCTTGTTTTGTTATATTTACTATTATAACTACTGGCTAGTCTCATTGTCCATACAAGTAATACCTAGCTCTCATGTAATGCTTTCAATCAATAGGTCTCAGAGCATTTTACAAAGGAAGTGAGTATGTCCCAATCTTCTCTTGGCCTCAATAATTGGCAATGAGTTCCACAAGTAGATCATCTCTAGAGAGAACTCCATTGACAAATGTTACCTCTTTGTTTTATACATAAAACTTGGGGATTTTCTGGCAGATTGAGACAGGTATGGCAGTTGCTGAAGTTCCCAAATAAGGTCTTCCAAGGATAAAGTTTATGTATTATTATGGGCCTGGAGGGTATGTAGGGTGACCAGATGTCCTGATTTTGGGGTCTTTTTCTTATATGGGCTCCTATTACCCCCCCACCCCTGTCCTGATTTTTCACACTTGCTGTCTGGTCACCTCTTTTGGGGGGTGGGGGGCAGGAGGAGAGACATGGGACCTGGGAGTTCAAAAGACCATACTGAAAATGTTCTGGATAAGTATGGACTTTTGGGACTATGAGCGTTTAGGGATTCCTGAGGAAATCCACTTGGGAGAGGTTAATGCAAATTCCCAAACTCCGGTTAGGCAAAAACCCAGCCCAGAGGAGAGAACATTGTCTGTCCTGTCTGTCTGTCTGCTGATTACCTCTTACAGAAGGCCAAGAACAAAGGCCTGAGCTGTATAAAGAAATGGCTGATCTGCCCAGCTATGGTTCTGGTTCTAGATTTAAGACAGATGAACTTGTAACTGCGGGGGAAACCCAGTTTGGGGGTTTGAAGGACTAAAATCTACCAGAGCCCTAGGTTGGAGCTGGGGGTGACATCTGGTAAGCTCTTTAGCATGTGTTATAATCTGGCTATGAACAAATTCAGGCTGGAAATAAGAGTTTTTCAGAGGGGTCAGGCTGTGGAAGAGCCTCCCACTTAGGTGTTGTGGGGCCAAACCACTTACTTTGTTTTAACAGAAAGCTGGACAAATTTGGCAGTGGGATTATGTGCTGGGGTTGCTTGTGATGAGAGGGGCAAGATTCAGCGGCCTTCCAGTTTCTTATGTTCCTAAAGCTCATGATTACGGGCTTCAGCTGGTCACCTGCAGGGGTCAGGAAGGGATTTTGTGTGTGTGTGTGTGTGTGTGGTCAGTCTCCTTCCTCTGAAGCATCAGGGATTGTCATTGCTAGAGGTGGGACACTGGACAGGGTGGGTCAGTGATCTGACATGGCACCCAGGATTCTCTCTCTCTCTCAGGTGCTAGCTGGCTGGGTGTTTTTTTGCCCACATGCTCAGGGTCTAACTGATTGATTTGCCATAGGTGGGGTCAGGAAGGAATCCCCTCCTCCCCCCCCCCCCCCGCAGGTCAGATTGGCAGTGATCTGGAGGGGCGAGGGGAGGGTGGGGTTTCACCTTCCTCTGCAGCATGGCATGCAGGTCACTTGCTGGGATTATCTGGGTGCATCTCAATCAATTCCCTGCCATTGGACATTGGTGCACCTCGGTCCCTTTTGTTCTCCACCTGTGGCACATAATAGCTTAGTCTCCTGTGCGTGATAATACTTTGCTCTAATTCTGGTTGTGGGATTGGTGGCCTGTGATGTACAGGAACTCAGACTAGGTGATCTGGTGGTCCTGTCTGGTCTTAAACTCTAACTGTGGTATCTAGCTGCAAGTATATGGTGCTATATAAATACCTCAAATATTTTCAGTCATCATAGTATCTATTCACTGGTACAGATAAAGAACAGGTTCTCAGATTACTTGATTAAATGAATCCTCACTCCCTTTGTTAATGGGACTCCAGAGATCTTTGAGTTTTGCGGCTCCTGGGCATGCTATATCTTGCCAGTTCTTTGTTAGGTTACCAGGGAAACAGGAATACTGTGGTTTGATATAATGGGAACAGCGGATTGGCTGCTGAGAGCAGCCTTCTCTGGCCCAGGTTGTTGATGGGAGGAAAAGGGGGCGGCGGGGTGGATTCTGGTTACTGATTGGCTGATTTGTGGTGGTGGCTTTGGGAGCAGTGACTGGACAGGGAGGCCGTTAACCTAACAAAGTCTTAGCAAATTTGATCTTAAAGAAATATTCCAAAGTGAATGACATTCAGATCTCCAAGGGCTGGATTTCTAGGGTGCTTTGTATCCTTGGTAAATACATTGCAGCAAATGCGGTGATGTCAGAGCTAACTGGATCCAGCTCTACCAAAGTTGTGTATTATTAA